GATATCTCCTGCACCTACCGTACTACTCTCCTCGTCAAAACTTGCCAATGACATGTCATACTCTGCTTGTCCAGAACCGCAAACCTGAAAAGAAGAAAAGTGTGCAAAGGATCAAATGTGCAACTTTACACTATGGTACAGCTCGTCCCTGCCGTCGGCAGACCTTGAAAAGCTCACAAAATTCGATAAGGCATGCAATATTCATGATAATGTAATGAAGAGATTAGTCAAGGAGCAGAAGGTAAGTTTTCTCGTAGTGCCATTTTCCCACCCCCCCCCCCTTTTTTTAGCCGCAGGGCTCAAAAAATCCTGGCAGTGCTATTAGAAATCACTCATGAAAGCTTTCTTATCCGACTCAGAGGTTCTTTAGATAATAGCAGAAAAGTATACCAGGTTTAAAGAAGCGACACTCTCGCTGATGGCCACCCTGTAGAAAAAGGAAGTTACAGCCATCCGGTCCCGATATCGCTTATCTAGTTGTTTGCATTGTGCACCTCGTGTTCCCGCTACAATATCTATGATCACTGAATTGTTCAGCGTTCTTTATCAACAAATCAGCGCTGTAACACAAAACACGTGTGACAACTTTACTACTTCAGCCGTAGGCTGATCAGAAAACCAACATTTCGGCGTTATCGCTCGCACATTTTGAATACACAAAGACAGTTGGCATAGTTTCGTTCGCCGCGGATGAAGGGGCGTGCCATGCTGGCTGGGTTTGGCGCGGCTTCAAAACGCTCTCTAACACATTTGAAGCGGGTAACGACTATAGCTGGTGGAAAATGACTGATACGAACGATGACACAGTCTTGTCGCTTGCTTGCTTCAGAAACTGGTGGAAAAACTGGTTTGGCGCCGAGCCAAGATCACTGCCGGCAGCAACTATCATGTTGTCAAGACCTACTGTCATGAGGAACCTGCAAGATTTGATGAAGACTCAATGATGCTCTAAAGTTCTCTGTATCCTTTGAGACAAGAGAACTGCTACACTTGCCTAACGTGAGCCAAGACTCGACTATCTGAGAGCCGAACCCCCAAGTTATTACATCTACTCACCAGAGCAGAGTTTGGAAGCCTTATAGCCTCCGCTTTCCAACGACGTCCATCCATTTCAACAGTGTATCGCGAGCCGTCTTCGTCCGTAACAACATCGTTCAGGCTCACTCGCTTATTCTGCCCGCCAAAAGAAATCTCCAACTCCGCCTCACTCAGGAAAGTCACCGTAACCTCCTTTTCACCTGAACATGAAATTAATCACAATTGCAATGAGTGGCTCCATGACCTAAGAACAGACCTAGTTTATACATTTGCTGAGCTGGATGATTCACACGGAAAAACGCAATATGCTCAAACGGACCACGTGGGTTGAGTGGTCGGCTGAGCAGTGCCAATCCAACGGCGCCTTCAACGAGATCCTAAAAAGATCACACTATTCCAAGCGAAAGCCAGGAAAAGGTTCAACAATACGAACCGCATCGGACTGCTTCACTTCCGAAAACAGCTCCTTCTGGTGGTCAGGGATGAAGTCTGTGTATACATTGCCCTTAATAATGCACGCAATAGTGAAAGTAGCAGTAAGGGTTCTCCAAGGAGAGAACATAGTGAAAAGTAAGACGAAAATTAAAACTCAACCTTTATGAATTCAGGATGTCTGAGCACAGTTTGGACGAATTTAATGTTTGTAGGTAATCCGCAGATTCGTGTTTGAGACAAAGCGCTGTCAAGCCTAGCTGCAGCTGTAGCTCGATCTTCGCCCCATACAACCACCTGAATAACAATCTCGAGAACAGAGATAAATCCGAAATCGTAGAATAAATGCTACTCAGAAACTACGTCAATTTCGATGTATTCAAGGACAGGTTTGTCGAATCATGCAAGCAAAGAAAATACAGTCGATTTGACTGAGATGCTGGGCGCGTCAGGGTAGTAGGGCTTGGGGTGGCCCCAGCCCCTTCACCAATTGTTGAAGCGGACAAGCGACAACAATTTGTGGAAAACGTGCTAACACGGCGTCATATCCTCCCCTCCACTTCGCACACCCCAGTGTCTTCAGTGAAAACGACTGTAGCCCCAGAGCTGAAAAGATACATAAAGGGGCTCGGTATAAGTGCCCATCAAAAAATCTCATCCTAAGCATTTTCCCAGCCGTTTTGTAACTAAACTTCTTATTTTCCTCCTCAGCTGGTAATCGTTAATATTGGCGCAGTCCTGATCACGGTGGGCACAGCTTAGCTTCGGTCTGATCTTAATCCGCCTTGGTCCGTACCATACCGATTCCAAACATGATCCGGACTCAGAACGCGATACGGTGACAGCCAATTTTCGGATCAAGGGACCAGTTAAAACTAGATATACTAGTCAATCAAAGGAGAACAGAGATATGATGTATGCAGTGGCTCGCAGTATCGCATGACGATGTTTTCTGAATGAGACTTGCACCAATAGCAGTCCATATCTGAGGACAAAAAGGGGCGTACGTGCGAGAGTACAGACGAAGAAGTGAAAGGAAATGTTACATATCTGTAACACTAGTTGTTTTATGGTTTAGTGCTGAATGTCGGTCTCTATGGTGCACTCTGTGTGTTTATCAGTAAATAAATAAATAACTTAATAAATAAAATGAATTATTGGAGCACCTTGGCAATCATAGGATCGTAGTGAACAGAAACCTCGTCACCAGACACCACACCAGTATCTATACGAGCATCGCTTGGGAATGAAACGTAGTCTAGTTTTCCTGAAGAGAAGATTTTCTGCGAAATATCGGAACATCCAATCTGTTCCATTTCTGTAATGGTCAAACCACAAAAAAAAACATCTCGAACTTACAAGCAGCATATGAAAATTGAACAAACCCGCAGTAGGCATAAAGCTGCCTCCTTTCGTGTCCTCTGCATAAACTCTGCACTCAAAGGAATGACCTTTTAGCGGAATCTGGTCCTGTCTCAATGGAAGCTTTTCCCCTTGCGCCTACCTTCAGCTGCCACTCAACCAAATCGGTGCCTGCAATGAGAGCATCTTTTCTAGAAAAAATCCCACAGCGCTTAAAGTCACGATATAATTGCGTCTGGTATCTTACCAGTGATAGCTTCAGTAACCGGGGATGTTCCACACTTGGAGACGAGTGTTCATTTGCCGAGTGAAGTAAAAATTGGCCTTGCTTGGATCGAGAAGTATATATTCCCAGCTCGTGCGCTCCCACATAGCCGACAGCTGCTGCTGCTCGAACAGCGGATTCTCCAAGCCGAAGTCGGGTTTCATGGCCTTGAAAAGGGAAATAAGATCAGAGCAATGAAGCGACTGTACTACACAATGAATGGTCTGCAAACTTCATCGATGAAAAAAGTAAAACCAGCAAAAGGTGAAAGTAAAACCTGCAATAAAAAAGTGTCGGCGTTGGGTCAAAACACTCCAGAAACAATAAAAAAAAACCCACTTATGAGCGGGGCTGGGGGCCTCTTCTATGATTTTTTGATGTCTTCTTTGCACTGAACAGTCACGTTCCCACAAGTAAACATAGTTGTCGTGGTGATCTCCGAAGACCTGGATTGTGACTTTATGAGCATGAACAACCAATGGCCGTTCTCACAAAAATGAAGGCGCAGGTTGGCTTGGAGGGGGCACTGAATGGTACTCATCTAAACTCGTTCTTTATTTTTATTCCATTTTCTTTATTTTTTGCTATTATTTATTCGACAAGAACAACAAAATGAACTAACGAAAGTGCGAGATGCCCCTCCAAGCCAAACAACACCAAAAAGGAGAAGAAGAGAAAAGAAGGAAGAACTACTGTTGTTAGCCCTGTCTATAAAACACACCTGCACCTCCACATGACGTGGTCTTTCAACAAATTTTTCCACGAGCATTTCATCGTTACCAAAAGACTTCATGGCTTCACTTCTTGCGGAGGCGAGCTTCTCATCAAATTCTTCCTCGGACCAAGCTATTCTCATACCTGTGATTTGGGAATAAGACCATCCAAGTCAAGAAAAGACAAACCGATAAGTCACAGAGCGCAAACAAATTGGAGCAAAGACTTGTTCTGTAATAGAAAGTTTGTTCATTTCTTACACGCTGATTTTTTCAATGAAGAATGGACCTAAACGCGGCGCTGCCAAACTTTTCTTGTTTCACAATGCCATGACAAATGGCTACTTTAAAAGTGTATTGGAATCAATGTAATCACCTTTACCGCCTCCTCCGTAGACAGCTTTAAGCATGACAGGATACCCTGAAATCAATTTGTTTGAAGGAGGCAGCGCTGTGGAGTACATGTCTCAAAACTGACCAATCTTCTCGGCATGGGCCTTGAGGTTGCCATCTGATTGATCTGCTCCATGGAAACCCTCGACAACTGGTACCTAAACATAAAAATATTAGCGTACAGAATGACTGCCATGATAAAAATATCGCAATCATACAAAGAAATTGTTGTCAATTGTGTAGTGACAGATGGAAAGGCAAAACAAAGGCTCAAATTGATATAGGTGCTGAGGACTTTGAAGGAGCCCTTACACAGCACGTACACTCCATACCCCAGAGATGAAGAGGGTGTGGCCGCGTATTTCATATGGGCGTGGTTGCAGCCGTACTTTAGGTAGGACATTCGTTCCCATTTTCGCAGTTTAATAATGTATTTGTCCGACACAGTATAGTATGATAGTTGCTCCAAATCGATAAAGTGAAGCACGCGACCACGCCCTCCCTATTTCTGCGATAGTGAGTGCGAACAGCGGAGATTTCTCATTTGTTGAGAAGAAGATGCACAATGTTTTAACTTATGATATATGTGTATATTTAGCCCTATTCAAGTACTATTCATCATAA